CAGATATATATTCCAATCTCTCTGTGAAGAAGCTGAGAATGTATCCCAATCAGTAGTTAAGAATGATATAATAAAAATTAATAACCAAATTGAACACAGACTCTATTTCCATATTATGTTTAGATTTAAGAAGGAGTTTGTAGACACTTTCTGAATCACTGCAAATGTCCCCACTGTAGCAACTCAATCCAGCCCCTCAGGTGACCAGATTCCTGCCTAGACAAACCTGTTGGAGTGAGGAGGAAACTTAACAAACTAAGGAATCCAGGGAAATTTTCTTTGAAAATTATTGCCCTTGTTTCTGCAGTTTTCAAAGAAAATGTAAAGTAATAGGAGAAAGCGAATAACAAATAAAAACTAGATCTAGATATTTGCATTACATATAATCTAAACTAAATATAATTCAAATATAATCCACTTATAAAGAATACTCTATGCATGACTACATTATTATACACTCCAAGGTGCTTTAGTAACTGATATTTTTGTCTTTATTCATCCAGAGGAAAAACAGTATAGACAGTGAGCCTAGATGGAGGACATAATTGAACAGGCTTAGGGGACACTCATGCACATTATTATTTTTCATCAGCTGATACAGGACTTTGAAGATAAATATAGTATTATTGTGTCATTAGGCACTTGAAGACTCAATGGGAGTTTTCAAGTTTTTAATCTTTAAAGTAATGTTTACAAGACATTTATCTTAACATATGAGAATAAAGTGAATTTCTCTTTTCTAATACTATGAAAAATAATAATTTATAACAGATACTAAATTAATGCAAATATTATCCAAAGTTCTGAAGGCTATTCACTTCACATTTTAACAAATATTTCAGAACTTTCTCTTTAGGTTTATGATAGATGCTGAGCATGCAAAATGCTCAAAATATACTCATTATTTATATAATTTGACATCTTTACAGTGAGGTGCAATAGAATGTTATGATATACATTAAATTTTTATGTAACTAATATTTGTTCAATTGTGTTTGGTTTCTTTAATATTCAAGTTGCAGAATATAGGCACACATGGACACATGCATGTATATGCACAAATATGCATATGTAATATGTATAATATACAAGACTCAAGCAGAAATAGGCATATTTGTATATCTATGCAAAGAAAAGTTGTTTAAACTATTTCATTTTTATGAATATTCATCTTAGACGCTTATAGAAAACCATGAAGTTCAGTATAAGAAGTTTTCTAAAACCAATCAATTTAGGATTAGCTTTGTAGATTAAAATGAAGCCAGTATGATTGAGATATTGGAAATGAATTAATAAATTACTACAAAGTGGCTATAATAGAATTCAGTGGGTCCTAAACTCATCTTGGTTGATTATATAGTTAAAAATAAATGTAATTGTTAATAACTTAACAAAGCTCTCTTTTAGTCAGCTATAATATTGCACAGGTTTTGGAACACTTAATTAAACCAAATCAATAATGAAATTTGGTTAAGTTCAAAAATGTATTGCAGTCACAGAAAATTCCCCTAGAAGGAGTCAAAAACTTCTTTTTATGTCTATCTCTATTGTCAGGAGTTTTCTGTATACAAAATGAAGCCAAGAATATGATTTTAGGAAAAGCATGATCTCTTGTATTCTTTGCTGCTTATTAGTGTCGCTGTTTCATCTGTGTCTCCATCATTATTACACCCCCTCACTGCTGCCCCCCTCACTGATACTTACTGCTTATTTCCTATTATTTCCTATTATCTCCATTTTATTATCTCTAGCACCTAACAGATGTTACAAAGATAATATACCTTTTTTGGTTAAAATAAAATCTAAATTTTTCAAACCTACTTAAAAAGATAAGCATAACAGAAGATCTGTAGATTACTTTTAGATATTGCAAAGTACAAAAATAATATGATAATAAAAATAAAACAAAAAATTTTTAAATTCACTCTTTATTTCACTTGTTCATAGAAAATTTTAGGCATTAGCATTTAAAAGTCTCTATTTTGTTATAAGAACAGAATTTTTCTTAAATAGCAAGGTTAAAAAGTTTAAACGCATCTTATAATGTTGAGATTATAATTATATGTGTTTTATAATTATATATCTGGAAAATATGTTGTATTTCACAAAGTTTTTTTAATTGTTACAGATAGGAAGAGACTAATATCTCTTGTTAAACTTTAAAGTCTTTGGAGATTTCTTCAAATTACAGAGTAAAATGCTTCATCCCTTCAATAGCTATTTTAATCACTTCTTGAAAACTCAATGTGCATCCATAGGCAAAGGAACTGTATTATCTCTGCATTGTAATTTGGAGTGTCATGAGTTATTTCATAAGACAACGTTTGTTAAATCAACACTGGCAGTGCCATTACTGCTTTGCTGTTGAACTCAAGTACAAGTCAGCTCTGCTTAAGTCGCCATTTGCCCAAGCCAGAAATGAATGTGCAGTTAAAATGTTGTCATAAGTTAATTAGAGTGCAGTTAGAAAGCAAGTGGGCAATTTAGGAACATAAGAATTGCTATAACGAATCAGACCAATGATTATTCCGGCTGAACATCCGGCCTCCAGCAGGTCTACTTGTTGGTTTCCAAGGCTTTAAAGGAAAAAAGAAAGACTCAATAATTCACCTAGACAAGTGTGCCATCTGTGAACTGGAGAAATTGCTTCATGACCTCTCTCAAATAATATCCTAAAGCAGGAGGTTTCAATCTTGTTATGTTATGGGTTTAGCTTGAATAGCTCTGCTTATTAATAGGTCTTATTAAATCATCCAATTCTTAAGTAAAATCAACTAGTCCATCAAAAGCTACTTATCGCTTAAGCACCCGAATTCATGGTTGAGTATGTTTGCATCTATTATAACATATAAATTGGTTGTTTGATGTAAGTTCTTGATGGCAAAATCTGCCTCTAGATAATCATGTTGGACAAAAGTCTGCTTCTCTTTCCAAAATCCACTGTGTTCACAGGCTTGCGGTAAAAAAGAAAATATATTTGCTATTGCTACTGCCAACTTCCCTTCTGTACACAAAGTATTGAGTGATGAAGAATTTTATGTGCTGAACTTTCAGGAAAATTCAGCTGGAATTTTTTGTATATGACTTTGCTTAAGGCAGAAGGCCTCTAAGAGAAAGGAATGGCTTGTTAATCCTCATCACTGTAATCTTCTGTTTATGATGAAAGTACCTGTGACTATTTTTACAGGTTGCTTAATTATTCTAGATATTACCCCTAGGTCAATAATTCAAAAAATGTTTTATTCACAGTAAGCCATTTAGTAAAAAAAAAAATCTCCCCCAAATAGTAAGTACCTACAGGCTAAAGTCTAAACCGTTTTTCTAGACTGTCAGTTCTTAATGTAATAACACTAACATCTTAAAGCTATAACTCTAATAGCATATCCCTGTCCTAGAACCCAAGAAAACTAGGTTTCATTAGTATTTGAACTAAAATGAACACTCGTTATTTCTGCCTATATTAATTCTGTTCCCTTTCTTCAGTTTTCCCAAATTTTTTGTTCCTTGTATCCTCTCCTTCAGCTGGAGTTCATTTCTTCAGTTACTATCCTTCCAAACATAGTAATTGTTCCCCCTTCTGATGATGTGCCCTGCTGGTTATACTTGGTTTAGGCTACCATACCTTGGTGGTTCTTTATTTTCATGGATATGCTTGTTTGTACATACCCTGAAGGAAACTGTTTCCAATATTTATTTCTATTTCTGGTGCCTTGAGCAATGTTTGTCTCACAATTATTGCTTAAAATATATATTAAAGGAAAACCTATGGATTTGCTACTTGGAGCCACTTTTGCAATGTTCACCATTGGAATTTCCATCTGTGTGATCAAAGTAGTACTGCATTACTGAGTGCTGTAAAGGTGTGAATGAGGCCAGAATTATAAATTTCTAAAAATAGAGTCAAGTGATATTGATGTAAAAACCACAATAACACTGTTATCCTTGTGCCTGAGTTCTTTCTCTTTTGATGGGTATCTCCATCCCGCAACCCCACCTCCACAACTGTCATCCTGCTCACTGGTCATGAGTCTGTCTCTATTTTGCTTGTTAGTTCTGTTTGTTCATAAGATTCTACATACTGCATTTGTTTTCCTGTGGGGGTTAGAGGGAAGGTAGAAGAGGGCATATGAGAAAAAATAGTAATTGAAAAAACAATAAGAATGGACTATTAAAAATATAATGAGAGGTATGAAAATTATCATCACAAAAAGGAAATATACAAGTTTTGAATCAGATGTATGATGTTAGGGAATAAAATACTTTCAAGCAGAAGTAATAGCTGAAGCAAAGGCAAAGTAATTAAAATAAAGAAGGAAATTACTAAGGAACTATTCCTAATTTCTGTTGGTTGGCTTATGAAGAAAATATCTGAAAATAAGCTTGGAAACATGGGTGGCATCATATTTATTAACCTTTATCTGAACTCACTTGGAGTTATTAAAAGGATTTTATTTAAAAAAAGAGGATTTTGTTCTGTGAACAGATCTTCAAGAAGGTAAGATCAACTTAAAAGTGAGACTAAAGGCAGTTTCCTGGAGTAATGTGTTTATTACATAATAAGGAAATGTGTAACTGGTCCCATACTCAGTCAATAAGGATAATGGATAGAATGAAATAGATGCAAGAGATGTTTAGTAGATGTTATTAATGTTTGTTGTGAAAGACTGAGCCTGGAACAAGGGAAAAGATGAAAAAATAATAACACTAACCTTTAAGCATATTTTAAAAAATCATTACAGAATAGAAAATATGTTTTTATGAGTATTATTTATGCAGAAACACATGTAAAAAGTTCTCCAAATTTTACTTCCCCCAATTTTAACTGACATACTGCTTCAAGGTACTGAAAACATTCAACCAAGTTCACTTATGCTTGACCTTATTAACACAGATGCACAATTTTTTCTGACTTGTTAAAAACCTCTGTTTTCTGAGAACAATATTTTTATCTAACAATGGTTTCAGTAGAGCTATAGCGTCTTTTTCTTTTTCTTTTTTAGAAATCCAGATGGCAACCAGAATAGCAGCACCAGGTGGCCTGTCTTCAAAAGCACTGAACAAAAATATTTAACCTTGAACACAGAGTCACCGAAAGTCTATACTAAGCTACGTGCTCAACAATGCCGATTCTGGACACTGTTCTTTCCCAAAGTCTTGGAAATAACAAGTGTGTGGTTTTAGTACTTAGTTAAATAATTGCTTGTGGGTTATGTAAAAGCGGGAAAGGTTAGACTCTCCAAGCTATGGTTGATGGAGTTAATCTGTGGCTTTATAATTACTTGATTCCAGTAAGTACATTATATTAATGACATTCTTCCAGTAAGTTTGGGTATGTTTTGAGGGCTTACTACATGAGTAATATTTTTGTAGTTAAATGAATAAACCTAAAATACAAATTTTTCCCTAGAAGAACATAAAACAGTTGTGGAACTAAAATAGGGTACTACTTGCTAGTCAGCCATTTTTGTGAAATTAATTAATGGTAATGAATAAATAAATATATAAACTACATAGTGTCTATAACTACAACTAGAACAAAATATAATTTATACTCAGTGAGAGATAAAACAAATTTATTGATAGTGGAACTTTTTATCAGTAAAAGAGAAGAAACTCTAAAATTTACATTTAAAGCACAATATAAATATTTCTAAATGTATTCAGAACTTGGAGATATTTATGTAAGAACATGTACATATATTACATAATGCCATAAATGGAGAGTAATTTAGTTAACTAGTCTTCAAGAAGTGATTTCCTAGAATTATGTAGGGAAATATGAAGAAACTTGGTTCAAAATATATTATTTGAAAATTTATTAGTGAAAAATTATTTAAATCAACTTGAATATCCAACATGAACAATCACATCTTTTGTGATAGTAAAAAAAAAATTCAATTCAATGCCTGGGTTTAAAATGAGCAGCTGTTTATAATCCATTTGACTTTTCTAGGCAATTTTTACCTAATTTTTTTCAAATCAAAGTAATTGACTTTTAACCTTTAGACATATTGCTGGCCACTTCCTTTACACTTTACTATTCTGTTCATCATAACACTGTAGTTTTCAGACTATATATTAAATGTCACAAATTAACAGATGTGTTTAGTTTCTTATTTAAAGAGAGAAGGGGTTAGTTTCAGACAAATAGGGGCACCTCAACTCTATTTTATTGTTCAATATGCCTTCTGATTATCACACATTATTCATCAAATTATAATTATGTACTCCATCTGTCTGGGAAATGTTTCTTACATACCAGTGTTCTGCAAGTTATCAAATGTTTGTGACATAATATATGTCCAGGGATGGGCTCCGCATCCCTTGGCAGAGATACAGTGATGCCCTTGTGACTTCTGGGTGTGAATAACAATGAAGTAACATGTTTAATCTGCCAAGGGAAGAGGTACCATTTAACATATCACACACTACACATTCCTAGTCTTTACTTAAATATTTGAAATCAGGTCATCATTTGAGAAAAATTAAGAGAGAGGTTGGAGGGATTGTAAATGACTAACTAATTATAGGCCAAACTGAGCTATTCTGGTTCAGTCACATATGCTCTATTGCGATCTATTTGTTGATAAAATGAAATTTAAAAATTAGCAGTATCTGAAGATGTACTTCAAAGTCTCTATCTCTAAATATTAAACTGCCATTAAGTAGATTTAATAAACAAAATTTGAACATTTTAGCTAGCTTCTGCTCCTTCTTATGCGGTGCTGAACAGCTTTGTAGTTTGAGCAGCACTGTGGGGAGATGTCCTGCTAGCTCTGGGTTAGTGTTTCCATGTGTCCTGAAAATATAACAATATTTTAACACTATTCGTCTCAGAGACTTTATTAAAAAAATTACATTAAATGTATTTTATACATTTTATAGTAAATGCATGTGGTTTTATAACATCAACAATGTATTCATTAACAATAAAGTCACATTTAAACAAAGCAAAACAATGTAAAATTAAAGGTTTTTAGGTTTTATAAATAATTTTTATGAAGGTGTTTAGAAGATTAAAAGCACATGTTTTATCAAACCTTATATTTTTCAAGTTGTAAAACTTCAAACATTTCAAGTTTTGATATTTTGAACATTGAAGTTATTCAGCTGACCTGGGTGGAATCTTAAATGAAAATATTGTTTAATAAAATGAAGCTCTACAAGTAAAAGAAAGTTTCAAAGAATGGTTAAAGGCTGGATTTCTTAAAAGGAAAATAGTAATAATGCTCACCTGACTTAAGATGAAAATCCAATCAGCTTTATAAGTAGTGTTTTACATTTGAGCAATAAATGTTCTCAAACAAAACAACCCCTAAGACTTGCTTAAACACATGAATTCTAGCACTTAATTTCCCAGCCACACTTTAGCACATGCCTATGCTGTTATTATGCGCATCTGCAAGAAATAAAATGCACAATATTTGTTTCAAATGTTATCAAACTCAGAGTTTTCATTAAAAATGTAGCTATAAAATTTCAGAATCATTTGGGGTAAAAAAGAAAATAGAGAAATGACCCAGTCAGTGTCAATAAGAAATTAACATTTTTTCAGAAAAAGTGAAAGAGTACATTTATTTAAAAGAAAAGAAAACATTTGAGTTTCATATATTACATCCAATGGCTCCTTAGGCCTTTGAATAAATGATGACACATTGTTACTTGTCAATTCTAAAGAAGAACACATATACATTTAAGACCCTAAGATGCCATTCGGATTGGTCACTTTGAAGAATCATGTACTTCTGTTTGCTAATCATTTAGCAAAAATGAAAACCAGAAATGAAAGTGGAAAACTAATTTGGAGAAAAAAATCAAAATGTTTTCTGTTTCCATATTCTGTATTTTCTACTTCTCATTAAAAGCAAAACAAAACATTACAACATTAAAAATGCGGGGTAACCAATAATTAAATCAAGTTCCATTCTTTTGTTTCACTTTATAAGGACATGAAATCATCACAAAACCTAGCTTGAGTTTATATAATTCACTCTCTATCATCACATACTCAAAATTATGACAGGAAACTAATAAGTTCTGATATACTGCATAAGGAATATGCATTTCTAAGTAATTATAATAATTTGTCAACAAATATGGAAATAAGCAAATGGTAAGAGGAGCAGAAGGGATTTTCAGTGAACTCTCAAAATACATAAAATAGTTTTATTATAATGCTCAGCACAATTCAATATCAATGTAATTCCTTCTTCAAACTTGAACTCTGTTAACAATTTTGGGTTGACTTACCTCTTGGTGTTGATTTTTTTTAACTTCTCGGACTTGACTAAATAGAATCAGCTCCTTTGAAATATTGTTCTTTTTTAATTGCCAAGCCAAAATATGGCTTTATTTTTATTACTGTTTCTGTAGGGAAGAAGGATTGATCTATTTTGTTTGTTTTTTGGTGGGTTGGTTTTTGTTTCCAGAGAAGATAACAATGCAGGTAAATCGAAGATTACAAGACTACAGAAAAAACTGTATCGATGTGTGTGTGAACTACTGGTACTGATTTAGTTGTACATGAGTCCAATAAGGAGCAGTTAGAAATAAATTTTTGTGACAAGGACAATAAATTCATTAATGGAGCTTCCAATAGGTTCATAGAGTTTGATTCTGTAACATGTACACCATTTATTTGTCCTTCACAGTAACGCTACAAAACAGATTAGTATCCCCATTTAGAGTAGAGTCCTAATTTGAAAAGTTGTAAATTCTTTCTATCACTTATACAATAAGTGGTCAATCTGGAATTTTGACCCGTATCTCTACAAAGTCTAAGCTGATGTTGTTGTTGTTGTTTTTATTTCACACTGTAGTACCTTGCATGTTTTTTTGGGGGGATGAGTTGCTTTATTTTTATATTTTCACTCGAGGACATGCTTAGAGAGGAAGTGGGGAGAGAGAGAGGGAAAGAAGGAGAGAGAGGGTAACATCGATGTGAGAGAGAAATATCAATCAATTGCCTCAAATGTAACCCAGCTGGAGACCGAACCTGAAACCTAAGCATGTGTCCTGACCTGAATTGAATCTGTGACCTTTTGGCCCATGAGAAGAGACTCCAACCAACTGAGCCACACTGGCCAGAGCTATTTGTACATTGTGATCTACATCTCACAGATGGTAAATCTCGGAACACTTAAATAATAGTCTCAATTTGGAGGGGATGAGGGGAGGAGAAAAACTTTCAGTTTTGGTTTTGATTTATGTCACGAGACTCAAAATATTTTATTCTTTATTACAGTATATTCAGTTTCTCTGCAGTCTGTTAGAAAATATTTAAATTATTTATGTTTTATTATTTCAGTCAAAGTTTAGTACTTCTAAATAAAAAATATAATCAGGTTTGCAGAGCATTTATACAATATAAAGTTAAGTATGTTAATACAATATATCATACAGATGTTTGATTATGACACATAAGCAAATAAATTTGCTTGTATATGAATTGATAGTTTTAGAATTATTTCAACAAGAAAAGAAAATCACATCTCAGACAATTTATCTAAGTATTTGAATTTATGATCTAAATGCTAAATCACCAATGGTTTATTTGTTATGTGAAATATTTAGTTCTTTCTGAACTTTCTAGTCCTTCTTCCATGCATGTAGCATTTTAAACATAGTAGTTATCATAAGAAATAATATAAAAATAGCTAATTTGGTTACAATATTAAACATCTTTCTCCCACATCTAATGTTTTTGAGTCTTTATAGTCATTGACTTTTAGAAGTAATTTTTGCATAAAAATTGGACATTTTAAAAATAAATTCTCAAATATTTGAATATTTCCAAACATTATGAACACTGCAAACCTGTTTAATCTAAAGAGAATATTTTGATGTAAAAATGTTTTAAGTATTTAGATTTTTATATAAACTAAAAATGAATCAATGAATGCACCCCATTATTATATGAATGAAAGAAAGGCACTTTTTACATATATTATAATAACATCATATGAGCTGTCTTCTCTAAGTTAATATTTTAAAATTTATAATCATTTATTTAAAATTTCTCACTGAAAATTATATATTTAAAATAGTCTAAGTCTTATTTTTAGGAAAATAGAAATAACAATTTGTTAATGGGAGGGAGGTGGGGAGCACAGGGCAAGGTGGGCTGGGATGGGAGAAATAGACAGAAAACTGCACTTGAAAAATAATTAAATAAAAATATAAAAAAATCAATGTCTAGCTCAGCAACATAAATGTTTATAAAGGAAGATAGCTACAGAGGTATAAACACTTATAATTTAAACAGTGAAAAGCATCTTCTAGACTATTTATATTTGAAATATAAATATATCATTTTAAAATTTTACAATTTAAAAGTTTCCATTGTTCACAAACCTTGTTATTTAATGCAAGATATATGTTTTCAAATAAGTCAGAATTCCAAGATTTTTGTTGTAACATAGACCATTTTTGGTTCATGGCCTCACATTATTTTTGACAAAACACCTCTCTCCTTCGACACATGCATATACTTTGCAAATTACTGGAATGCAGAGATTATTTTAGTAATCTCTCTAATTTGCAAAGCAATCAACAAACGGCTTTCCTAGAAGTATTCCAAGTCATGAAAGGCAAGGACCTATATCCAAGATTGCTCTATCCAGCAAAGCTTTCATTTAGAATGGAAGGGCAGATGAAGTGCTTCTCAGATAAGATCAAATTCAAGGAGTTCATCATCACCAAGCCCTTATTATATGAAATGTTAAAGGGACTTACCTAAGAAAAAGAAGATAAAAAAGATGAACAGTGAAAGGACAGCAAACTCACAGTTATTAAGAACCACACCTAAAACAAAAGCAAACTAAGAGGACAGCTAGATCAGCAGCAGAACCATAGAAATGGAGATCACATGGAGGGTTAGCAACAGAGGAGTGGGAGAAGGAAAAGGGGGGAGAAGGTGCAGAAAATAAGGAGCATAGATGGTAGGTAGAAAATAGATGGGGGGAGGGCAAGAATAGTATGGGAAATATAGAATCTAAAGAACTTGAGACACGTGGTCATAAACTAAAGGTGGGGAATGGTGGGGGAGGCGGTGTGTAGGGTGGAGAGGAATGAAGGGGGAAAATAGAACAACTGTAATGGCATAATCAATAAAATATTTAAAAAAATAAACGGCTTTTCTATACTAGTTTCAATAAAATGTTTTTAATGACTAATTGTTGTTTAGAATTAAAATATACTGATATTGGCTGAGTGCAAAATTGATACATAATGCCGTTTATAAAGTTATCTATGCAAAAAATATAGTGATTGATCAGTGATTCATCAGAAATGAGACTGAATTATAATTACATTATGTAAGTATGATGTATTACAATTTTGTTATGAGTGGAGTAATGAAGAAAATGAATATTATATATGTTTTTTTAAAACAAACAAATATATAATTTTGTATAAAAACAAAAACAATGCAATATAATTTGATATATGATCTATACACCAATGTTTGCATTTTATGTATTATACATTTTCGTATCTTATATATGTTTTATACAAATGCATTATGTTATTATTATATGATATATATATAATTTATTAAAAGCTACTCAGGTATTAAGAAAAGCTGATAATAAATCATGAGAAATAGAAATTGCCGTGCAGTGTAATTGAAAAAACTGGCATGTTATAAAATTATTTTAAAATTAACATAAAGAAAAATTAAATTTAGGTTAATTCAATTTATTCTATGTTTTAAAGGAAATATTGATGAAGCAGAACAAGAATGGAAAGCAGGATTCCATCGCTGGAGCAATTACATGATGGACTGGAAAAATCAATTTAATGATTACACAAGCAAGAAAGAAAGCTGCACAGGTCTCTAATTAATAGATTTACCCTTTATAGAATGTTCATTTTCCTGTAAATCAAGGCAAAAATATTGGTAGCTCTCTTACACATCTAGAGAGAAAGCTATTATACAGATGAACACAAATGCCCGAAGGATAATATCGACTTCTCACATCTATCATTTAGCATTTTACTTAGCATTACAAAACCCAAAAATCTAAAACATATTTAATTAAATTTCACAATTTAAAATCAGCAATTAATTATATGCATATTAAGATGATTTACAGCTTCAAATTCTTTATTTCCCAAATAACTTCAACATTTATCTCCTAAAAATATGTTTTCTCTTTTTAGTTGGATGTTTATTTGAATTACCACTCATAGATGGGTATCTTTTTTTAAGTGATTAGATCTTGAAACACTGGATACTGTAATTAACAATATTGTTTCATCTAATTAATTTATGAATTTAATGTCAAATATGAATTACAAAAAGAAACCAAATATACATGCTTCCCTTTTTTCATCATAAAACAAGATCCAATCTTAAAATAAGAAGATTGATTCCTTAGGGAGTGTGGGGGTGACTTTCCTCGCAAGTCCCCCCAGCCACTACGGTTGGGAGCAAATACGACTGAGACATGATGTGATCTGCTTGGGGAGGAGAAGGGCCATTTTCCCAGGGGAAAAAGGCGGTGAGCAGTGGCCAGTTTCTCAGGGGAAAAAGGCATTGAGCTGCCTCCTCCAGGGCCTTTTATTGGGTTGTAATACACAGGAATACAGGGCAGCAAGGATCAAACAGTAGATAACATTCTGAAGAAATCCGAGGGCTTAGTCTGAATCAGAGTCTGTCAGAAACAGAGTTTTAAGGTTTCCTGCTAGAACACTTAACATATGAATGAAAGCACTCTTAGCAGAGCAGATTTCACAAGTTTATCAGGAAGTCTTTGTGATGCCAGATTTTCCCCCAAGACATGCTCTAGCAAGACAAGGAGCTGCACCCCTCCCCATCAGGTATTCAGGTTTAAGGAAATTAGAGCAGGAAAGCGCTTCTCTCAGAGAACCTGGGGACTCGGGCTTTGTCAAAGCCCAGGGGGCGAGAGTCCATTGCTCTTTGTTGCAGTCCCTTGAGTCCTTCCATGATGTCCTCCCATGTGATCAAGTATGGCTTAGGTTGCCCCCCACTGTGAGGGGTCTTACCCGTCAAGGACTTCAGGCCATTCTTTGTGGGCAGGGAGGAAACTGAGGCAGTGTTTGCTACCAGAGACAAGCATTGTCTCTTGCGGCTTGCATTCCAAAGGTCATCCCTTGCCCTTAGCCACAAAGGTAGAGTTACAATTCCTAGAACCAGGCAGAGCAGTCTACAACAGGGTAGAAACAAAATGATGCTACCAAGAGACAAAATGTAAAACAATATACATCAGTTTTGTATTTTTTAAATATATATACATGCTTATAATCACCAAATTATATTCTTTATTCTTTCAACTCTTGCTCCTTTGCAGCTCTCCACTCTTTGACCTTCCCCAAACATGTACTTATGTAAATTGCTTTTCCTATAAACTAAAAAAAAAAAAAAAAAGTAGATGAACAGAAATCTAAAGTCGGAAGTCACATACCAGCTGGCATAGAAAACTTGGTTAGACCTGAAAACATTAGGAACAATTGCTCAGTTTTCACAAAAGCGCTATTCAATTCTAAGAGACAAATATTTATACTTTTGACAAACAAATAATATTATTTTTAAAACCTAAAATTTACAAAGCTACATTTACTAACTTATATGACAATGGATCATATCTAGTGAATAAATTTATTGTAGTTCACTAAAGGGGACAAGTTCAGGGTGTTAGGATTTAGAAATCTGCAGACTTGTTGATTATGTTAAGAATTGAAAACTAGTACTCAAGATATAACAAAGTGAGTCTACATGTCCATACACTGTTTGCTAAGTCAGTCTCATTTTCTTTTTTCCTGTGTGACTATTGTTAGAGCTAGTAGGAGTCTGCCATCCTCACTCAAAGTTCATGGTACTTGATCAGCTTCAGCTGGTTAGAGAATTGGTATAAAAGTCAAGTCACTTTAGATAGCATTTTAGTATCACTAGAAATGGAAATGTTTGCTTTATGGTTCTTCCTCATCTTGAGATGAAGGGAAAACACACCCACACACAAGTGGTAGGTGAATTATCAGGCTTTCAGTTCAACACCACCACCTTAATATCAGGGGCCATTTCAGGATCCTTCCAGGATCCATTGTGTTTTTCGGAATCACTTGAGCATCCTTTGGATGTGGAATCTTTGATATATGAAACATCAGGAGGAAAGGTGTAATTTTTTAAAGTAAATTAATTTCTGATCAATCAGAAGATAAATTCCATGGGTAAATCTTAATGTAATTTCTGTTGTGACATTTTAACAGAATATTTTAATAAATGGAACCTTCCCAACATTCCTAAAGAAGACAAACTCAACAGTCAAATTTCCTGTGGTAGTTTGTAGCCTTACGAAATCTTTAAAAAATGTTCTCTTTATAGTTTGTTTTAATTAAGATGGTAAGAAATAAAGGAAATACAAGGTTTTTGACTGAATGTACTTAATGTGAAGATAAACCAATAGGTTATTTACAGACATAATCTTGGTGGAATCATCAGAAGGTCAAAGAATAAAGAAAGGACCACCACAATTACACAAACAGAGGGAGTTGCATAAATACATTCATTTATACATATAGAAGTCTATTAATGTTCAGCAAAAGAGCACCATAAAAACTTTCACTGAACTATTCCAAGAGAGAGTAAAAAGGGGATTTTGTCATATTCATATAAGAGAATGCATCATAGTCATATGATGGCTATCTAATTGTATATCAAGTATAAAAACTAAAGTAAGATATAATCTGAGAATATGTACAAAGAAACCCAAAAACAAATACGAGAGACTATATGCACCCCTGTGTTCATTGCAGTGTTATTTACAATAGCCAAGATTTGAAGGCAGCCCAAGTGCCCAGCAGTAGATGAGTAGATAAGAAAGCTGATATATTTACACAAGACTACAAGGCCATAAAAAAAGAAAATCTCACCCTTTGCAACAGCATGGGTGAATTTGGAGATCATTATGGTAAGTGAAGTAAGCCGGCCAGAGAATGACAAGTACCACACGATTTCACTCATATGTGGAATCTAATTAACATAATACAATAACAAACAAGATGGAAAGAGAGTCTCAGATAGAGAACAGACTAACACTTCCGGGAGAGGGGCTATGGGTCTGGGTGAAAAAGGTAAAAGGATTAAGCAAAAAAATCCTCATTCAATTTGTTTTTATTGATTGATTGATTGATTCAAATTTTCTTCAACAGTTCAGGGAGGAAAATACATACTTAACGAAGTCTCTGAAGAATAAACTACAATATTTTATTTAACAATGTTAAGAATTTTAAAAATTGTTGAAATGAATATGCCAAGAGAATGATCTGTCTGTCTGTCTGTCTGCCTATCTATCTGTGCATGGATTATCTACTTAGGATAGCTATGCCTAATTTTAACCAAGGGGGAGAAAAAAGAAAAACACCAGAGAAATATTACTGATGCAGCTAATTCAACCTGCAGTATAAATTCAGTCATTGCCTTTACCAAGATACTCTTTTATTTATTTGTTTTTTTATTAATTGTTCAGTTACAGTTGTCCTCATTCCTTCCCATTACTGGCCCCTACTCCCCTTCCACATTTGATCCTCTCCCCACCATCCTTATCTTTTTGTCTTTGTCCATGGATACAAGTTTCTTGACTCTCCCTTTTTTCCCCTGTTATCTCCCTGCCACCTCGCCTCTGGTCACTGTCCGTTTGTTCTTTATTTCCATGTCTCTGCTTCTATTTTGCTTGCTGTTTGTTGTGTTGATGAGGTTCCACTTACAGGTGAGATTATATGGTATTTGTCCCTCACCACCTGGGTTACTCCACTTAGCATAATGCTCTCCAGTTCCACCCATGCTGTCATGAATAGTAGGAATTTCTCCCTGCTCTTATGTTCTCAATTTGATGCAACTTTGGACAGAGATTTCTTCCGGACTGCAGGCCACTGACCTATTTTAGAAATGTGACAATTTTTATTTCTTTCTCGACCCCTTGAAATGTATGTAAATCTCCCAGCCTTTGGTCAGATTTACTACATAGTAAATATCTTTCTCAAAGACCTGGGAACTATTGCATTGAAACTAGACATTAAAAAAGGTCATGCCTTCATCTGCCAGGCTCTGTGAAAGGTAAGGTCATAACTTTGATGGGAGCCAATTACCAAACATCGATGGCCTAATCATAGACAAAAAAAAAACATTTACAAATTCAATAACTCAGTGTGTTCAACACAACCAACTGGTCAACCCATCCCAAATGTCCTCAAGAATTTTTTGACTCACCTTAGCACTTAACATTGTCACAGTTTTTGTTACAGACAAGTTCAATTTCTCTCCTTTATTTCAGCAGTATTGAATAAAATCATCCCTTCCTGTTGACTTTGTCCAGCAAGTTTTTACTTTAACAGTTTAAACCAATATCCAAGACTTCTTAAAAGACCTAGGAACCAATCACAATCCTACCAATTTTCTACTTCCTAATTGGGAAAAACGCAAATATTTCAATTGCAGCAGATATCCTTCAGAAACAATGACTCTCTTAACAACCTTCAGATATATGTTTCTTATTTTTTCTAATAAAAAGGGTGGCAGAACTTGAATTTATAAGGTATTAAAATACCCATTTTTGTTGGACTTCCAGGGGTGTCTAACCAGTGGCCCAAGGGCCACATATGGCTCAGGATGGCTATGAATATATTAAAAAATAAAATTATAAATTTAATTAAAACCTTATAAAATATTTTTATATTATGTCATAATATATTTAATGTGCAACCCAAGACAACTTGTTTTTTCCAGTGTGACCCAGAGACATCAAAAGGTTGGACACCCCTGTAAGATGTTAGGCAGATAATAATTTGCATATTTGTGTCAATTTTAAGTTTTTGACATTTTAAATTTTTACCATTTAATTAATATCTCAGCATATTTTTCTTCTTCCTTTCTACATAAAATTTAACTTTCATGGTGATGTTATTTTCCTGATAGAATGGCTATGAACAAATTCAGTTTTCACATAATATTTTTTTTTACTTTTCTTTTTCTCTTCTCCTATCTTTTTCTTTAATGAAAAATAATAGCTACAGATTTTTGTACTGTTGTCTAGAAGTCCTTGTGATATAAAGGATTACATTTATGTGTTTAATGCAAATTTTCATTATACTATTAGGCTTTTGTGTACAGACCGTAGGAAATGCGATTCCCAGAAACATGAGTTTGGAAAGAACATAACTCGGTTTAGCTACGTTTTCTTCACATCAGTGGAAATGAGCCTTTAGTCTATAGCCCCAAGCACAAAACAATATCTTTCATCCAAGAAGACTCTTCCTTTCCCACTGTTCTTAAAGATATTTCCCTGGCTTTCTTTAATTGAAATGTGTCTTTGTTTTACAGCATTGTAATATGATAATTTTGAAGTTACTATCTTTGTGCAAGGTAATAAGTGAGTGAAAAACTCAAATGCTAACATCTGCTGTAGCATTTCAATTTTAAACCAAATGTGTGTATAATATTCTCTTTGGTAAGTGAATTAACATTTTCACATAACCATGAACGGTAAAATTTTAATAATCCCCCTTGGAGTTTTCTCTTTGAAGTCATGTGTGAAATGTTAAGTGAAAATTCTAACAGAACACTATTTCTTCTTTCTTTTTAGATTTTTGAAGATTTCAAAGATGGAGAGTAAGTACCATGTTCTTTCTCTCAATTTCCCTGGCATTAAAGCCAAGTACAGAGGCAACTATTTATTCCTCCTAGAGTAGATGTAAGGCTTCCAAGGACTGTGTCAGATTCCAGAACACCTGTTTCTCGATCACTGTCTAGCACTACTATATGGAATTCTATTTCATATATATTTTTCAATCCCTGGAAAACATTCTGACATTTTCATGATGTCTCTTAATCATATTTTCAACTTTTTTTAGTTCTCACTATTCCTTGAAGAACTATTTAAATTATTATACATTAATATCCTGATGAAAAGTATCACATTGCTAGTCTTAATCCAATGCAGGGGGTATCAGTTTTATTAAATTTACCTGGAACTCACCAAAAGGAATTCAACGGTGTAATATTTTGGGGAATTTTCCCATATAAAACACCCCTACTCAACAGATTTTAAAGGCAACTTTAGAGATAAACTACTTGTACCATGTAAGAAGACAGGTACCTGAGACCCTCCATCTTCAAAATAATTTGATGATTCATATCCATGTCCCAATTAATTTTCTCTTGTTTCTTTTACTTATCTGTAAAAAATGTTAATCGTACTGGTTCAAGTTTTTAAGGTGTGTGTTCATTGAAATAAATCTTAGAAAATATTTTTTAAATGGTAATCATACTAACTCAAGATAACTTTTTAAGTTTTTTAATATATATATGAATTTTGTCCACTACCAAAAATGTATATGCTTACATAATGTATATATTTTAAAATATATGCCACACTGTATGTACTGAGATAAATGTCACTTCACAATTTATTTATTCATTCAATGCAGGAATTAAAAAATGTCAATTAAGAGGAGTAAATAAACATTTTCTGCCTAAGTAACTGGTTGAATAGGTTTATCTTATTCTGAGAACAGGAAAGTTGTGGGTGCAGAAGGTCTAAATGAAGAAACAAGAGTTTATTTGAGAGTGTGTTAACTTCCAGATGCCTATTAGATATCTAAGAGAGAGAGAGAAAACAAACCACTTTGTTAGATGAGAGTTGAGTTGAAGGAAGATGTCTAGATTAGAGATATAAATTAAATTATCGCAAGCATCGAGATAGTATATAAAGCCATTGGACTGAAGGAGATTACCTAGAGATAAAGTGTAAATCTGGACTGAGCGGAGCCAACTCTCCAGCACTGAGACTTGATTTGATGTTTAAGTCTCTGTTAAGCTATAGTGCTTATTGCCAGACTTTTATAAAACAAGTTTCTTCTCCCTCAGTTTCTAACCTTGACTCATCTCCCTTCTTTCTACAATTCAACAAATTTTTTTTCTTTAGGAAAAATAAACCAAGCTTTTTTATAGCTAGGCGGATCTTTTGGTTGCCTTTGCAAATAAATAAATATTTGGTTAAATTTATAATGTCACCATTTAAATGTATTTCCTTCAACTATATTGAATTATCTATAGAATAAAAATCTAAAAACAAGTAAAGCTTTGCTCCATGCATATAATCCATATCTCTTTCTGGGTACGTATAAGATTTACATATGCATGCATGCATATATGTAGCTCATAAGGCTAAGTAATGGGCCCTCAAAAGACACCTACTTTTTAATTCTGAAACTTGTAGATGTTTCCTTGTAGTGCATAAAATAGTTTTGCAGAAATAATTAAGTTACAAATCTTGAGAAGGGGGGTGTTTATTGGAGTATCCAGGAGGGCACTAAATGCTATCACATGTATTCTTATAAGAGAGTGACCGGGGGGAGATTTGAAAACACAGAAGAGGAGAAAGAAGGCAATGTGACCAGAGACACAGAAATTGGAGAGATACAGCCACAAGCTAAGGAATGTCCTCAGTTACCAGAATCTAGAAGCGACAAAAATATGAATTCTTCCCTGGAGCCGATGGAGGAAAAGTAGCCCTGACGAAACCTTGGTTACACTTAATGAAGCTGATGTCAAATTTCTAATTTCTAGAACTGAGAGAGGAAACTTTGAATTGTTTAAGTCATTAAGTTTGTGTTAATGTATTACAGCAGTCATAGGACACAGAAACACACACACGTACATATATAACTTTACCAAGATATATCTAATTATTATTTATCTAACATATTCTTCCCTGTCTTCAAAGGTATTTCAATCTACCAGTTAAAATGTATCTTCATTTTGGCACAATTTTCAGATATATGTTTCTTATTTTTTCTCTGTTCACTCTATTCTCACCTCCTGTGGTCCTATTATTCTTGAGTCTAATTACATGAAACTGTCCCAATTTAGCCTCTCTTTAATTTTTTTTATTGCTTTCCTTAGAAATACTCTAACTTGGGATGTTTCCCTTCTGACATTTGGCTCTTCTTCCCTGATTTGCCTTCTATATACAATCTATTATTTTATTACCACTGTTACTAAAGGTAGTAATTTTTTGTTTTGACTCTCAGATAGTTTTTATTTCAACTTATTCTCTTTATGGTTGGTTGATGTAATTTCATAAATGCAAAAACTCCTTTTAAACCTTTTAAAATAAAATGTTATTATTCATAAATATTCTAAAATTTTCTTATTTTTATGCATTAACAATTTCAAAAGCAAGTATTCTTTGGACATAATCATTTTTTTCATTTTTTAAAAATTAATTATTTTCCCATGACCCTATGCTAACACAGTGTTATATGAATAAGTGTTGACATAAATTTTGGCAGAAATAGGTGGGACTTCTTGGTCTAATCCTTAAGAAACAGGACAAGGAAGAGGAAACAGATTATATTTAATACAGTTTTAACCTACCAGTGGGCAAATCCACCATATGGTAGGGTCTAAGAGGAAATTCTAATGGAAGACCTTGTCACAAAAAGGATATTTATGTAAGTTCCAGAAGGGTTCTTCTCCAAGGTAGGTGTGATAGACATAAAATTGCTTTAATCATGTACTGGAGATATTGAGGAGAATACTGTGTAAAGTATATGATTGTCTACCCACTATGTTTTATACCTTAATAATATTGAATATCAACAGTAATTAAAAACAAAAATTTTAAATATAAATAAAATAATGGTATTCAAAAATTTTTTAAAAACTACATGTTCAGACCAGTTCTTTATCAGATGATCAAGACCAATTTCTGACCAAGAGAAAGATACTTCTACCATATGATTTCATTCATATGTGGAATCTAATGAACCAACTGAACTAATAAGCAAAATGGTGACAGACCTACAGGCTGACAGCTCTGGAGAGGGAGGGAAGTTGGGGGTGTGGGGGGATTAAGCAAAAAAGATAAAAGAGGAAGAACTCATGGACAGGGATAACAGTGTGGTGATTATGGGGGAAGGGGTGTGGGTGGACATAGAAGAGCATATGGAGGGATGAATTGCGATGGGAAACAAATAAAATAAAAATATGTATTTAAAAAAATGACAATGGGCAACACACCACACACACAGAGAAATATAAGGCTACTTCTACCTAGAATTTCCACCATATTAGCTTCTGTCGAAGCTAAATAAAGCAAGTGTGACTCTTACATATTGTTTTTCATTTTATTTCTTTGTTTTATTTCAAACTATTTCAACCTTGCATGACTCTTGGATACACTTGGATTTACCTTCAAAGGTCCATTTTTTTGTTAGCTTTACTCAGGTTTTAGTACTAGAAATGATTATTTTATATGACAGAGTCCAAATGTTGCTGACATACAAGAGTAAATATTTTTAAAATCTTAAAAATATATAGAGGTATAGGTTGGTGTTATGTGTTATGCTAATGTCCAAATCTCTTTGCTGAAATGAAGAAAAAAAAGAAACCTACATTCTCAAAAACTGTAGATAAATCAGTGACAAAAAATTTTTATTAGAATCTCATAAAGTTGTGTCACCCAGAAAAAGTAACTTCAATACACTGATTATCAATTGCTGATCACGCTTTTGTTCTAAAAAATAAAAAAAAAAAATGTATGTTAAGCCCTGGCTGACGTGACTCAGTGAATTGAGCACCAGACTACGAAGCAAAGGGTTGTTAGTTCAATTCCCAGTAGGGACACATGCCTGGTCCCCAGTAGGGGGCAAGCTAGAGGCACCCAAACATTGATGTTTTTCTCCCTCTCTTCCTCCCTCCCTTCCCCTTTCTCTAAAAAAATAAATAAATAAAATCTTTAAAAATATTTTAAAAAATGTATGTTACCACATCAGATAAATCATAAAAGCTTTAAATTTATTTTACTAAATCACAATAGTATATTTTCAGTTTGAGTAGCACTTTACCAATGATTTTATTTCTTTAAAATAGGTCAATAACTCTCAAATATACTTTATATAATTATTTGTTTAAAATTTAAAGACTCGTTTTTTTATTGAGTTATGTTTAATTAAGAGCCAGGAGGCATCATGTTGCTAAGTTAAATTAAATTCTTGTTACTCAAACATTAAATTTACCCAATGCTTCTTTTTTTCATTATTTTAAGATAGTCCTGGCTGATGAAGTTCAAAATGAAGGGATCACTAAGCTAAGATATTTTAAATGCCTTAAATATAAATATATATTTTTAAATATATTTCTTCAATATAAACTAAGTAAATCATGCCCTAATTCAATAATGCTCTGAGAAAAATTCCTGCTTTACACAAAATTTGTACAAATTATTGATCCCAGAATTCAACTCATTGAAATTAAGAAACCAGCACCAGATTGACAGAAACATGCTAGAATAAAAATAAGGAAACAGAAAAATAAAGAATGGACAAACACATTCAGTAGGAAAAAATGATTTTTATGGAGCAGATAAAATTGTGACAAAAAATTGCCACAATTTAAAACTGATTGCCACAATTTTAAAAACTGATTTTTAAAAAATCTTAATAAAATAAGAGATAGTATGACCAATACGTCAAAGCAGAGATACAAGAATTTTAAAAAGATCTGGCACTTACCAGAGAAAGACAGCACATGTACTAGTAAATCAGATGAAAAAAGTAAGAGGGATAAACAATTCTCAGGTATAAATTCCACACTAGAAGCAACACAAAAACAGAACTATCCTAGCCAAAAACACAGTGAAAATAAAAGTAAAGAAAGTACAAAAAAAAGAAAAAGATGAATAGAAAAGATTAAGAAAAAAAGATCTAATACAATCAGTTTGCTAAATGTGAAAACTGAAATAGGAGGACAGAAAATTATTTTATAATTCAAGAAAAAGTACACTAAATACAACTTTTTTCTTTATAAATTGAGAAAGGACATGATTTCTCTGGAAAGAAAGAGTGAGAGTGGTTTGCATCTCCTAGGTATTCAACAAGACTATAAAACATTTCTTCTGTATATAAAGATTAGGACAAAAAATAAGTGTCCAGTACTAGGATAGTATTGAAGCTAACTTGGTTTATTCATAAGATGGAACACCACTTAGCAGTTAGATTAGGTAAGTCTTTGTGCGTTGATAAGCAAAGTCTCCATTTTTTTTTGAATTGGAAGAAATCAACATGCATAACACTATGGATGTATTATATTTCTATTTGAAAACAATGATCTCTGGGCCCTGCCCAGGTAGCTCAGGTGGTTAGGGCTTTGTCCGGATACACTAAGTTTGTGGGTTTGATCCCTGGTCACGTCACATACAAGAATCAGTAAATGCCTGGCTGGTATAGCTCAGTGGATTGACTGTGGGCCTGTGAACCAAAGGGTTATGGTTCGATTCCCAGTCAGTGCACATTCCTGGGTTGCAGGCCAGGTCCCCAGTAGGGGACCATGTGAGAGGCAACCACACAATGATGTTTCTTTCCCTCTCTTTCTCCTTCCCTTCTCCTCTCTCTAAAAACAAGCAAATAAAATCTTTTTTTTAAAGAATCAACTAATGAATGCATAAATCAGTGGAACAAATCAATGTTTCTCACTTCCTCCTCTCCAAGAAAGTCAACAAATGAAAACAATTATCCCTGGGAACACATTTAAAAAGAATAACTGTGAATGACTCCGAGGAAGGAACTAAATGACCTCATAGAAATATGGAACTGAGAATTCGTTTTGCATGTTCTACACTTGAGTGCCTTTATACTTTGTAACATGTACATATATCACCCATTTGAAACGAATAATAACATGTACTTTTAAAGAAGCAGCTAAACCTGTTGTTTAATTAGTCTCAGGGGGAAAATGTTCAATAACAACTGAATACCAACACAGTTGCTTTTGGCAGGCATTGTTCAGAAATATAACACGATGAGATATAATTTCATCCATAATATTAATACCTTCAATTACATGAATAGCATTTTACTGCTAACTAAACCATGAAGGCTGTGCTTTTCAAAATTACACATTTGGCAAGAGATTTACTAAAGTTCTTCAATGTCTATGGATAACTGGGCACACCTGCCCTTAACATTTCCAGGCCAAAATGGCTCTTCCATGCTTTGTGGCACATAATTCTGGGATCTCAATCAGGACATTGATTATTTTACTGGGGGGAAAAAGACACTAAAACTCCTTAAATGAAAATACAATTTAGAGTTTTTAATTTCCATAACACAATGTTCAAATGGGCACTTACAGTTTACTTCAATCGATCACAGAGTGCATCTGTACCTTTGGTATAGATAAAATGGATATGAGGACCCGCCAAGCCTTGGTCATTTCTTCCTCTCCTAGGATAAAGGAAAAGTAGCACTGACATTTTTGTCTTATAACTACACACTAACAGAATTTCTTTGACCTTCATGTTACCCAGACACTTGTCCTTCCTCCATTTTTCTGCTGATAAGATGTAACAGGATGGTAACTAAGGGTAAAAAGTAAGAATACTATGCCCATGAAAAAGGTGAAGGGATCAAGAACTACAAATTGGTACTTACAAATAGTCATGGGGATGTAAAATACAGCATAGGGAATAGAGTCAATGATATAATAACTATGTATGGTGCCAGGTTGGTACTGGAAATACTGAGGGGAATACTTTGTAAAGTATATGATTGTCTAACCACTATATTGTACAACTGAAACTAATATAAAATAATATTGAATGTCAACTATAATTAAAATGCAATTTAAAAATAAATAAAATAGCTGCATTCATAATTTATAAAAAAACATCATGTTCAGACAGGTCTTTATCAGATCATCAGGACTGATTTCTGACCAAGAGAAAGCTACTCCTGCCATATGATTTCACTCACACGTGGAAAATAATGGATAAACTGAACTCTAAATAAACAAAATAGAGGCAAGCTCATAGGCTGACAACTCTAGGGGTGGGTGAGGTTGGTGGGGGTGGAAGGATTGAGCAAAAAAAGAAAAAAGAAGAAAGAACTCATGGACATGGACCACGGGATGGTGATTATAGGGGTAGGGGCTGGGTGGAAGTAGAAAAGGGTATGGGGGGATAAATTGTGATAAAAAAATTTAAGAACATGACAACAGACAACACACACACAAAGATAAAAAGCTACTTCTTTCTAGAATTTCCACCATATTGGCATCCATAGTTTCTGAATAAAACAAGTATGACTCTTACATATTAGCTATTATTGTTGACATTTTTGTCACACAGCAAAAAAAAATCTCTATAAAGAAAGTAGTGCATCGTTTTATATTGTCACAAATTCCTGATTACATTGCCAACTACCCACAGGCCTTACTGAGAGAGCACTGTGATAAACTGTGTCTGGAGGATAAGCTAGGCTGAGTGGTCATGACCTAAATCTGAGATGCAAATAACAAGAACACGGCCTTCATGTTGTAAACTAAAATTAATTTTAGAGTGTAATAGAGAATGAGAAACACTTATTTGGGCTAAAGAGACTGTAGCCTAGGAGACACAGACTCAGTGAGCAACCTAAATTATGTTCCACAAAACAAAGTGAAAGCAAGGCAAGAGTTCCTGCCCATGGTCCCAATTAGGTCCTTTTTATGTACGTGAGGTACCCAAATGTGTGCACTTTCTGGCTGGCCATCATGGAGCAGTTCTGATTAGATGGGGCAGGAACTCCCTTGTAAAGCTTATTCAGCCTGGCATAACTGACCGGGGCATAGTGCAGGAGGCGGAGAGGTCAGTGTTGGCATACACAGAGTGTGAGAAGCCCCTGTAAGGAAATGGCCACTAAGCTTTTATTAATTATAAAATTTGGGCCCTCAATTGACCATAGAGAGTCCAGCTCAGGAAATAAATTCCTTTTGAGGTTCACAGCAAATGGATCTTCTCCTTGGCATCCACAATTCAAATAATCTGAGAAAGAACAT